GAGGAACGGTTGGTGAAAGGGCTGGAGGGAGGCAGCATGTCTGGACTTGTAGGAAAAGGCTTTGGGTTACTGCTGGTAATCCTGTCTTCCTCTTGTGGGATTAGAGGAGGTCAGAACATGTGGCCTCCTTGCCGTTTTTGCAGCTGCCAACTAGTGAATAGAGGAGCACAGCACAGTACCCTGCTTACATAGATAACATACAAAGAAAACAAAAATCATGGGCAAGTCACTCCAACATACAATCACCAATTAAATATAAACACAAAAATGTCACCATGTCTTGGAGACAACAGAGGATCACAGTTCACACAAAGAAGCAAGATAAACCAGGAGAAACAAGGGACCAAGATACAGACCCAAAACACATTCCTGAGGAAGACGCAGCACTGGAACTCTCCAATAAGGAATTCAAAAGAATTATATTTAGTTATCTTCAACAAATTGAGAGACAGATCAAGGAAAACATTGACAAAATTGAGGAAAATACAGAGAAAACCCTAGAACGATTTCAAGACAGTACAAGGACAAAGTAAATGAAAAATTAGAAATGATATAAAATCTACAAAGAAATCCAGAAGATTAATACTAAATTGTCAGAAATAGTTAACTCATTGAATGAGCAAAGGAGCAGAACTGAATCAATGGAAGACAGAATTAGTGAGATTGAAGGTAAATACCTCAATACTTCTTTGGAAAGGGAACAATCAGAAAAAAGATCAAAACAAAATGAAGAAAGCCTAAGGTTCATGTGGAATACCATCAAACGGAATAATCCATGTGTAATCGGAATTCCAGAACAGGATGACACGAATAGAACTACAGAAAAAATTGTTGACGATTTATTGGAAGAGAATTTTCCTGGTATAATGAAAGATGAGAATATATCCATTCAAAAAGTCCCTCAAACCCCAAACAGGATAGACCCCGAAAGAAAATCACCGAGACATATCATCATCAAACTCACCAAAACCAAACACTAAGAAAGAATCCTAAAAGCAGCATGGGAGAAACAAAAAGTTACCTAGAAGGGGCAACCAATAAGAATACGCTTGGATTTCTTGGCAAAAACCATGCAGGTTAGAAGGCAATGGGATGGTATATATAAAACCTTGAAAGAGAAAAATTTCCAACCAAGAATTATTTACCTAGCAAAACTGTCCCTCAAATATGATGGTGAAATTAGAGCATTTCTATATAAGCAGAAATTAAGGGAATTTGTTAAAACCAGACCAACCTTACAAGAGATGCTAAAGGGAGTCCTTTGGCCAGAGAACCAACAGCAGCAAAAAAACAACTGACCATTAACACACCTGATGACATAACCCAAAACCAACCCAGTTACAGAGGTATTCAAAATAAATAAGCCTACAAGATTGTAAGTAGGGAACCAGAGACATCAATTGACAAATGAGGACAACTACAAACCAAAAAGATGGAAAAAACTGTGTAGTTACAGAACTTCTAAATGGTAGGGAAGTCAAGACAACTACAAGATAGAATGGATTGTTCTAAACTTGAGAAGTAATTATAAATCACAGGGTAATCGCAAAGAAAAATGATAAACCTTCACATCAAAATAAAAAAAAGAACCAGTACAAATATTTAGCAAATATTGAAACAATAGCAATGAAAGAAGTGATAACACGATTCATACACAAAATGAGCTCAGCACAGAAAATTATATGAAACAAAGAAATCAACACCACAAAAAAGCACATAACAAAATGACAGCAACAAATTCATACTTATCGATAATTACAATCTGACAAGGGACTTACCTCTAAAATTTATAGAAAACTCCAACACCTCAATAACAAAAAGATTAACAATCCAATTAAAAAATGGGCCAAAGACACAAATGGATACTTCACCAAAGAGGATATTCTGGCTACCAGCAAATACATGAAGAAATGCTCATCATCATTAGCCTTCAGAGAGATGCAAGTCAGAACAACAATGAGATACCTACCATCTCACCCCAGCACTAATGACAAAGTTCAACAAGACAGAAAACGGCAGATGCTGGCAAGGATGTGGAAAGACTGGGACTCTCATACACTGCTGGTGGGATGGTAAAATGATACAACCACTGTGGAAAACAGTATGGTGATTCCTTAAAAAGCTGGAATTAGAAATACCATTTGACCCAGCAATCTCATTACTAGGCATATATCCTAAAGAAGTGAGAGCAAACAAGAACAGATATATGCACACCCATGTTCATTCACTGCAGCACTGCCAAAGAAGAAGGCCACATCTTCCAACCTCTTTTAACCCCATAAGAGGAAGAAAGAAGCACTATCAGTAGCCCAAGGCCCATTACTGTGAGGCCAGACATGCTGCCTCCCTCCAGCCCCTTCACCAACCATTCCTCCCACAGCACTCACCATCTTTCTGCTGGGTTCGATAATTCACTGCAGTGGCCACAAAGAACTCATAGATTATGGGGTTTATTAGGAAAGCATCAGGCTACAATTCAAGTTCAGGAAAAAAGCTCAGTCTCTCTCAGCCCGCTCTCTCTCACCCAACAGTCTCTCACAGTCTTTCTCCCAGCAGTGCGTGTCCCTTGGTGTCTCTCTCAGCAATGCATGTCTCTTGCATCTCTTTCCCAGC